TGATTATTTTTTATATATATAATAAAATATTATATTATTATTTTTTGACATATCTATATCGTATCCGTATCCGTATCCATATCCGTATCCTATTTTTTAAAAATTTGTTGTATCATTGTATTCGAATCCTGTCGTACTCGTGTCCCGTATCCATATAAATGCTTCCTAGATTGAAATTAAGGAAATTTTAGTTCAAATTTTAATTAAATTTATTTATTTAAGACATTGACTTGATAAGAAATTGCATTATTAGAAATTCACTTGTTGAAAATGAGACAATTATTTTGGAATAAATTATACTAACCTCCCTCCTTGCATCCTAAATAACAAGGGTACCCTCTAGTTTCAAATATAATATTTACCTCTCTTAAGGTTGTAGTTAGAGTAATACCGACCTCCCATATCATAAAATCCGTCATTATTTTATGCTGATGTTACTCTTAAAATTTACTTAAAACCAATACTACCTTTAAAAAGCTTGAAAATACATTTGTCCATATATTATGATAGTAAATAATCATAAAAGTACAATAAATATAATTGTCATTTAACATTTTTGGGTTAAAATCAACCTCAAAAGGAAGATCGGTGTTATTTTTTAAACCAAAATTTTCCCATTATTTAATAAATCTCCTCAAAGGATAGGTTGAGCATTTGAGGTGAGAACAAAGAATGAATGTGTATTTGTTCTACGATTTCAAAAAATACAAACAAAGAAAAAAAAAAAAAAAATTGAATGAGAATAATTTAGGGTGGCCAAAACAGAATAGGAACATATTTATACAGCATATTACAAATTAGGAGAAAAGAGACTCGAATACAACATCTGAAATTAAGTTTTTTATTAACTAAATCACTAAATAATATCGTGCACGCGGTGCGTAGGGGAGTCGAGAAGGAAGGAGGTTGGATGGTGGTGGGTCGATGTGATGAGCTGGCAGGCAATCAAAAATTCCAAAAGCCGTTTTCTTGTTCCCCAACCACATCATATTGCTCCCCGCTTGTTATGCCCTTTGTCTCCCTCCAAAAACGCAACTTACAAAACAACTAAAAATGCTTCTTGCGTGACCCTCTCTTTCTCTCCCCCACTCAACCTCAACCTCTCTTTAAAGTCCAACCTTCCTCTCAATTATTATAACATTTACTATATATATATAATAGGGGCCCACTGAATTATAGTTAGTTTACCTTAATGCATAAATAAAAAATTTAAAAATAATGAATCATATACATATCTTAATTTACTTCCAAATTTCAACAACTTTAATTATTAAGTACAATTTTCAGTTGTTGAATCATTTGAATCCCGCAGCAGTGGAGCTCACATAATTTAAGAATTAAGGCAGTACAATAACGAGTATAATTAGCAAGTCAGTATTCTTATGCTATTCATAGTACGAATAAATTAATAAATAACCCAATATACAATACGAAAGGAGAATTATTAATTAAATTTTTGTGAGTATAGTGTGATGTCATATTTTTTGTTTAAATTTACTAATTTAATTTAGTTTTTCCTATAAAATATACTTTTAATGTGTGTGTGTGTATATATATATATATATATTTCATTTATTGTAGTTGTTTTTTGTATTATGTGATTGATAGTGTTACATTACATAATATAAGCGCTCATTATTTTATATATTTCCAGCCATATAATAAAAAGAACAAAAATATTGCATAGGTATGAAACAATATACGGAGTAATTATTATTGAAAATTGCATGCAATATGTTTTCATACATAATACTAGGTAATATAATATTTTGAAATAGTCTTTATTTTATGCTCCATATAATAGTAAAACTTTGAATTGCCCAGGAAAAAAAAAAAAAAATTAATCAATTAACAATATCTAATTTTGAATGACCACTATGAATAGTATTAAAATTTTAACTCGAGTACATTAAGGTACGAAGCATCCAATAATGGCCTTTTAGAGGAGGACAACTCTAATTGGGGGCCCCACCATTGGGGCCTACACCATTAGACAGCGTGCAATTGGGATGGGGCCCATGTCATCCACATGAGTGGGAGTATTTATAACATTAAGATTGATGTTTCCATATCACATGAGTGGGAAAAACCGAATCTTTCAAAACTAATCAATATTATGAAAGTAATAATACACCTGTCAAAGTGCTTATTCACCAATTAATAATAATAATAATAGAGTAAATTACACTATCAGCTCTTGAAATTTGACAAATTACACATTGATAGATTAATGCATTTTTCTCGTATAAAATGAAATAAAATATATTATTATAATATAAGAACATTATTGACTTTTTATACTCAAAGTCTATTTCCAACAACCCTTGATTAGGTTTAGGAAATGTCAAAATAATAAACTTTGAACGGTTATTCGTGCTAAGTTTATACAAATCTCATAAGAGATCAATGTAAAAAGTGCTAGAGACTTATTGCATGATAGAAGTTCCGTTCTCACAATTTATTAACTACTAATGGATACAACTTTAAAAATTTTAAAAACCCCAACAAATATAACAAATAACTCTTAGGCTATGTTTGGTAGGGTGGGTTTGAAAGGGAAGGATAAGATTAGTTATGAGGGAAATGGAAGGAAAGGGAAGGGAAGGATAATTTTAATTTAGTATTGTGTTTGGTTGATTAAGGAAGGAAAAGGAAGGGAAGGATAATAATTATGTTTGGGGAAAGAAAGGAAAGGAAAGTATTTCGGTAAATTTACTATTATACCCTTTTATAATTTAAAATAAAAATTAATAACTTAAGTATGTAATATTTGTAAAAAAAAAAAAAAAAAAAAAAGAAAATAAAAGAAAAAGAAAAAGAAAAGAAAAATATTAATATAAATATAATATTTTTAGGGTCATCATTTTAGGGTCCCCGCCTCCATCTCTATTCTCGTTCTCTCTCTGCAACACTCTCTCTCTTTTGCAACTGCAAACCACAAAACTACAACAATCCAAGTTCCAAACCCATATGTTTATCTATCATTTGCAAGAATCAAAGGTTCAAAACCCATATCCGCATATTGTTTCAGATTGTTCCAAAAATCAAAACCCATATCTTTCAGTTTCTCTTGCCCGCTGTTCTAGTTTGGGTTCGCCGTTTCCATCGCCGGTTGTTCCAGTTCGGGTTCGCTGTACGCAAGTTTCAGCCGCTGTAAGCTTCCCCCCTCTCTTTCTCTGTGCAATGGCTAACTTATATGTACGGGTTTTGTTTTGCTAAATCAACCAATTAAGGTCTGTAATTCTTGTTTTGCTTAACTAAATCCTTGATTTTGTGTGGGTAAAATTGGCATCACGATTATCACATGTGCCATTGCCTTCCTTTTCCTTCCGTTTCCGCCCATTTTTGAGAGGTTAACAAATCTACTGTTCAAGCCTTGCCTTAACCCTCCAAACCATTCCCTCTCCTTTCCTTCCCTTCCACCAATTTTACCCAAACACAATTTTTTTATAACCTTCCATCACCTTCCCTTCCCTTTCCCTTCAAACCCACTCTACCAAACTGAGCCTTATCAAAAGAGGACTCTCTTCAAAAAAAGAAAAAAAGAAGTGCATGGGTGGAGTTGTTAAAGGACAAAACCTATTTACTCAACGGCGAATGGCTGATGTACTCTAATCATAAATGTAAAAATATTTTATAATTAAAAAATCAAGAAAATGATAAATAAGAAAAACAAAGAGGGTGACTTAATTTATTCAAAAAAAAAAAGTTATTATTCTTATTTATCATTTTATAATTATAAATTATTTATAAATTTGTAATTGCACCACATTCACCGGAATAACTTTCTTACTCGTTAGTTAGTAGACTCCTTTGTTAACATGGCTAAACAAAGGCTTAATCCATAAATGGGTAGGGGTAAAAGTGTCTTTTGAGGTTGTAGAATGTACTGCTGCTATCAAAGTACAGAATATGGAGGATGGTATTGCTCGAAAAGCTTAGGACATCTTAAGGGCTTATCTTAACTTAGTTAAGAAAGCAACAATGAAGGGCCGTGATTTGGACACGTCGTGCATTTTGACTGATTGGATGGTGGCACTAGTTAGACAAATTGCCAACCCCAACCTCATCGTCCTCACAGGACAATCCTGTCCTCACACTCCTAAATTGATCGCATGTATGCCATAATAGATGCAACTTTCCAACTTCATCACGTGTGTGTTATAACGAAGTTAGTATTTTTATTTACGGAGTATTTATTAAAAATAATAATTTTAATTTTTATATAATTAGCAAAAAAAAGTCACACACACCTTTGTTATTTGTACGTTGTTGGTTTACTTCTATGTCACAGACATAGAATGGTGCGAAAATTTTGTATTTATTTTTGTAAGAGTTTTATTTTGAAAATCAAAAGATTGAAATTTAAATAGACAATCATTCTGTTGTTAAATGTCAATGTTCGTTCTATTTTTACAATATATCATTTATAAATTAGAAAATAAGAATGGGGTCAATTAAATTTGAATATTCTTGTAAAATGTGCATGGGTATATGTGACTTTAATTATTAATGTGTTTTGTTAATTGAAATTAATTTATATTTTTTATAAATTATAAATTTTAATGTGAGAAGGGCAATTTAATAATTACGAATTGTAAAATTATTTTGGTCAGCTAAATGATACAATTATTACCCGTGATTGTTGCATTATACGATCATATTAGCTTTAGACGGAAAACTAACAATAAGGAAGTGATATAATAGTCTTTTTAAAATATCAAAAGATAATATGATAGATTTTTTTATTGACGAAATTAATTGATAATTTTTAAAAACAAAAAAAGAAATTTATAATTTTAGCCCTTTCTCTTATTTTAAGTCTTAATAATCCTCCCACAGTCACACTCTTTGAACTAGTCACGATGTCCACTTGAACACTTTAAACATCTTTTTTAATCGGAATAAAGTTTGGTTGAGAAAATAAAAGTGTTTTTTGTTTTTATTTTTCTGAAGAAAAGAAAGAGACTTTTTATTTGAAGTGTTATTTTATTGGCATTGAGCTTCACATCGGACAGCAAATGTACTTTTGTAACTTTCTGCCAAAATGGAGGGTTCTTGGCTATCTCTCTCCTCTCGCTCTCTTTCTGCAAAACTTCCTCTGAAAAACTAAACACTCACTCCATCATCTTCAACGGCTGATCTAATTTCATTCAGGTAAGCCTCTAACTCCGAGCTATGCATTCAAATTTTCAATTCCATTTGATGTTACAACCGAGTTTTTGTTTTTTTTTTTTTTCTCTGAGATTTTCTCTTCTGTAAATGACAAAATGTTAGCGTTCTTTGTTACTCTGTGTTTGGAAATTTTTTAATTTTTTATTAAGCTTTGCACATTTTTTATTTTTATTTATGGGTAAGTGAGTTTTGAACTTGTTCATTTTACTATTGTTTGATTTGATAGATCTATTATGTGAGCAATGGCCTTTGAATTTAAGCCATTTTGCAAAATTTAGGTCATGTGACTCATGTTTCATTTTCTGTTTGCGTTTATTATCCTTTGTCTTCAAGATATAATGTTACTGATTGCACTTCAAGTTTCAGTCATTTTTCCTTCTTTTTTTCATTCTTTTAGGCTTAAATTGCTTAAATTGATATTGTGTGCATATACAAATATATGCACAGTTGATTTGGTTGGGAATACTTTTTTTTTTTTTTTTTTTCATTTTTTATTTTATTTATTGGAACCGCTTTTATATATAAGTGGTTAAGATTTATCATAGTCTGAGGTGTATGTTAGGATTTGGTCCCCAAGAGTTCTAAATAAGTACATTTGTACAATTCTCATATTATTGTGATATAGATCCCTAATCAATTTTTGTTACTTTCTTGTTAGCTTATTTCATGGAACAAATTTGGTGTGTGTGTGTGTGTGTGGGTGGGTGTCCTTCACCAATTTGCAGTTTTCCAGTGCTTAAATGGTTAAAATCACTATTTGTTTGTTCTTTGACCTCGTTTTTTATTATTTTTGTTAATCAAGCAATTTCATCAAGGGGGCACCCAAAAAAAAAAAAAAAATCCAAATACAAGAGCTTCATGGTGTTCTGCTTTGTTTTCTACTGATTTTCATACCCAGGCGATATGAAGGGCTTGTATATACCACCGTTACTCATTTTGTATTAGCAGCTTTTAGGTGGAGGGTATGGTTTGTGACCAATTAGATGTTTTGATCAGAACTAGATGGTCCCACAATTCATCTTTTCCTTATATTTTACAGGACAAATATTTTGACAAGTCCTGCCATATGTTGTTCAATGCTTTGACTTTTTTTCCCTCCTCCTTCTTCTTTAGTTGCCTTTTGTTGGAATGTTCACTTAGAAGTTAGAATTTTAATCCAAATGGCCTGAAATAAAGCAGGTTTAAAAGGAATTGGAGTTTGGCTAAAGATTTTGATGTCTCCACCACTGCTTGGTGTTGGGGAGGAGGGACATAGCAATGTGACTTTACTGGCTTCTTCGGCTTCCACAAGCAGTATGTGCCAGAACGGTTCACTATTAAAGGAGCATAACTACATGGGGTTATCTAATTGTTCTTTTGCAGACAATTATATGATATCCACCGCATCGAAAGACAATAAGAGCTGTCTAAATTTGAAGGCTACAGAGCTGAGGCTTGGACTTCCTGGATCCCAGTCTCCCGAAAGAGACCCAGAGATATGCCGGCTAAGCTCTGCAAAACTTGATGAGAAGCCTCTCTTCCCTTTGAATCCTTCAAAGGATAATAACAACTCGTTGCCACAGAAGATGGTCATTTCAGGCAATAAAAGAGGGTTCTCTGATGCTATGGATGTATTCTCGGAGGTGAAAGACACTGTTTTTACTAAAGAAAATTAAATGTTTTCTACTAATGGATTTAACTTAGAAACAACCCAATCTGTGGTACAGGGAAAATTTCTTGCTAGTTCGGAGGCCAACATGATACCATCACCCAGGTCTTCTCCAAACATTGGATTGAACCCTGGTACTGTGAAAGATATCCCTGGGACTCAGCCAGCCAAAATGAAAGAGGCAGAGCCCCGGAATGTTGTTAAGGACAGGTCGCATTCTACCGTTGACAACTGCTCAAACCGTGTTGATGCCACGAATAACAATATCAGTGCTCCTGCTACAAAGTAAGTGTACGTAGAAAACATGTAAAAGGGGGGTTCCATGTAGAAGATCAGGCTTAACCTTGAGAATAGTCTCTGATATTCCATCTGATGCAGGGCACAGGTTGTGGGTTGGCCACCTATAAGATCCTTTAGGAAGAATACATTGGCTACTACTTTGAAGAATAATGATGAAGTCGATGGAAAAGCCGGGCCTGGTGCTATGTTTGTTAAGGTCAGCATGGATGGCGCGCCTTATCTAAGGAAAGTGGACTTGAGAACATACTCCGCATACCAGGAGCTCTCTGCTGCCCTTGAGAAGATGTTCAGCTGTTTTACCATAGGTGAGCATTTTGAAATTTCAAATGGTACAATGATCTTAGTAGATAGTGTAATATCTGTGTAGTGTAAATTGAGTTTATCTTTTGTATTTTAAAATATTGGATGGGTCCAGTTACTGAGACTTTGGTTTGATGTTAGGCCAGTATGGTTCTCATGGAGTTCCAGGCAGGGAGATGCTAAGCGAGAGCAAACTGAAGGATTTGCTGCATGGATCAGAATATGTCCTTACTTACGAGGATAAAGATGGTGACTGGATGCTTGTGGGTGATGTCCCTTGGGAGTAAGCTCTGATTTACTTATTTTTTATTTTTTTATTTATATATATATATATTTAAAATCCTTGCTTCTCTTTTAATTGCATTACGTTACTTATATCATTAATCTGTTTATTATAATAGAAATATGAGAGTTCTGCTATTCTATTAATGTGGTACTGCTTCTTTTGCCTGGCACCAAAAATTAATAGTAAAAATCACATCATGAGGTTTTTCTGGCTGAAGTGAATGCGTCTATGGTTCTGATGTTTAGAAACCTCAAGGGGACGTCAGTGTAATTAAATACTTATATATATAATGTGGTGTTTAGGTAACACCATGGCAGTCCCATATATTAGTCCTACTAAAATCATGGTCCCAATGGCGGTTACGGCACCGTAATAATAATTTTGATGAGTGAGGTTTATAAATTTTCAACTTTATTGTCCTTTTTTCTTTCTTTCATTTTTCTTTATTTTCCTTTTATACAATCTCAACTTCTAGGCCGACCAAAAAATATGTCTAATTCGAATGATTTCTGGGTAGATTACGCTCGATCCTCTAGAACGATCATAGAGGGGTCGAAATCAAATACCTCAAGTCTCTATTACAGTAAGTACTAGATACTAATTATTATAAAGTATGTAAAATAAACTGTAAAGTATATGAACTACTACATTACTGGCACTAATTTTTTTGATGTTTAGATTACTAATTAGAAAAAAAAAAAAATACTAATTAGCAAATCACTACATATATAGGCATTTATTCAGTTAGAAACTGTTAGTTACTAGTAATTAATTAGTATTTTAGTAATTAATAATTTTGTTATCAGATTATCAATGTTTAATTATAATTTAGTTTACAGGATTGACTTAGAATATGTGAATTTGATTACTGATTTAGAATATGTTATGCATTTCTTTGAATATGCTATATCGAATAAATTTTATATATTTTCATATGCAAGTGCACTTGTGGTTATAAAAATAGTGGAGGTAAATATTAGTAACCTTTTATAATTGACAACAAGTTAATTTTGAATTTATAACTCATTATCCATGTTGAGGGATTTAAATATTAAAGTTACACCCTCTCTAGTAGCTCAAGGTTTTAGACTAGATGGTTGTTAACAGTCCATATTAAATCATCATTGTGAATTATAGAAAGTTCATTAAAAAAAATTTAACACACATATAGGTTGGACTTTCATATTAAAGCATGTGTATTGAACATCTCAAGGGAGTTGGAATGGGAAAACTTCGTGCTCCAGTTGGCAGGGTCATCACCTAATGACCGTAACGCATGTTGGTAACACCATGACAGTTATCTTTACTGCAGCCATTACCATTACTAACATTGCTCTGGGTTATTCCCGGAACAGGAGACGTCGTAAATCAACGAAGACATCTTTATGATGATGTACTTGTTTTATAGAATAAATTTCGGTTTTATCATTTAGATGTCAACTGTCAGCATAAACTACCATCAAAGTTCTATTGTTGAAAGCATATTTACTGATGACTCTTACAACCATGCGCAAAAATGTCGTTGATGTTGGTTTAGATGTAGATTATATAGAATTTCCTGTAAGAATATTCACAAGACATATGTATATACTTTCAAATTTTAAGTGCATGTGTTTATTTACTATTGGTATTGTCAGTGAGAATTCAACAGTTTGGTATATGAGTTCAAAAAGTTGTATTTGATTTTTGATAAGGCGATGCTCCATTTAAATTTCTGAAGGGAGAAAGGCTGCCGGAATATTTCATGGGAATACTGTTTAGTTGCATACTTTTAAATATCCAGTTTTACAATCAGCAATCTTCCTCCGTGTTCGCAGTCCAGTAGCAAAAACTCTATGTTACATGGACTTGGGTACGTGTGTTGGGTACAGGTATGTATCCTTGCGTGGGACGTCTCAAATCTCTAAATAGAAGGACACATGGACACTACTAAATATTCATTTTATTTAATTATTTTATTTTATTTTCTAGAGTGAAGTAATGTTTTTATCTAATATAATGTTTCAATATAGGCATTTAACTCATTTTAAAGTAATAATATGATATAATTGAACGATTGGATATGCTTTTAAAGTACATGTCCAGCAAAAAGTGTCAGACACATACCCCACACCCATGTCCAAGCAATAAGTGTCCGACACGGGTACTTCACTACTTTTGAAGGGTCCATGTAACATAGGCAAGAAGTAGTACCATCCCTCAAAACATTGACATTTTTGGTTAGTTTTTCTGATTTGGATCGTCCAATTTATGTCCATTTGGCATTGTTGCTTTTGGAATTGCACTTGTAAATCAGTACAATCTACTGAAATAGAAATGAATGTCACATTTTGACACACACTGGGTGATTGGGTGTTAGAGTGGAAAATCTAGACATGAAGACACGTCTATGCATGTGACTGGCTTTGAATTTACTGATACTGTAAATTTACACTTATCCATGTTTAAGTTTGCAAATGTGTGTGTATATGTAGCGCATTATAAACACAAAATAAAGCAATGATAGAAATTATATTAATATAATAAATTATTCATTTGTGAAAAGGCGTAATACTGGTGTGCTTTAGTTTCAAGCAAATAACCATGGACTTCTGTCACAGTGTCCAACATGGGTGTTGTATAATTGTGTTGACAACTGTCCCCAATTGCTGTTCATTGCCTCGTTAGTATAAAAAATTGCCCTGAATGTTGTGGGGAAACCAAAAATTATTGTTGTTCTTGAAGTATAATTCCATGAGTACTTTGTTTGTAGCTGTTATGCACTTTTTCGATATGGTTGTAAAGGATTCCTATTTTGCTTTTGTGATGCCATTTTATAGAAATAGACTCAACATACTAGTTTCATTGCCCCATTTATGTTTAAATTCTTCAATGTCATTGCTCAAGTACTCCATGACCTCAATTGTTGGAGCGTCTTCACTTGTCACGAATAACATGCTATATTCTTTGCAAATGGGGCTTGACGATGAGGTTTAGTAAATTGCTGCAGGTCATAGTTTATCTCTGATGAGCTTCTATTTGCATCAAAATTCATAGAAATCATACTAATTCAGCACATCATTGATTGTCGGGCAAAGGTTATTTATTTATTTATTTTGGGCACGGTATGTATCCAAAACCTAAACAATTGTTTGGATCTCTGGCAGGATGTTTACTGATACATGCAGAAGGCTGAGGATCATGAAGAGTTCTGATGCAATTGGCCTAGGTGCGTTTAGTTGTCATTTAATATCTCTGACCCATGTGAACCTTGTTATGACTTCTTAGAAAAGAAAATAATATCTTGTTTTTATTGCACTCATGGCTTATATTGTGACAAAGCACAGCGTAGCAAAAAACAATGAGGAAATCTGCAATGAAAGCAAAAGCTTTTCACTATTGCCTAATATTGTGACAAAAACCAGCATAGCACAAAACAATCCAGAAATGTGCAATGAAAACAGAAACAAAAATCACACACCATACTGAACACATATTTAATGTGGTTTAGCTTATAACCTACGTCCATTAGTGAAGACGACAAAGAGATTACACTATGCGAAGAAGAAAGGAGATGTACAAATTTTCTTAGACCCTAATCTTCAACACACTTTTTCTTTCTCTCACTCTCTTTTTGGGATTTTCACAATTCAGCCTGCATGATACAAACCCTAGCACCCCTTTTACATACCGACTTACAATAGAGACTCGAAACTGGGTTGAAAACAGCCCAAGAAAAAAAGAGAGAGAAGTTTTTCCTTGATGAATCAGTTTGAAACTGGGTCACAACATGACCACCCAGGTCTTGAATTCGGGCCACAACTCAACAACTTACTTGCATGAGATGTGCATTTTTAGTGTGTCCTGCCTTTAAGCTATCTTTCCTAAATATATATTATAGATCAATTATATTTAACATTTCATATTCTTGGTTTGTCAAAACTTACAAGTGTATAAAATAAAATAGATGTTTGGCAATTCTTAACATAAGATGTAATTGATGGAACACAACTACGTTTTGCAACAGATTGCAGGATGCTTGTAAGTTCCCTTGAAACACACATGAAGAAGTCATGAGGAAATTGGGAAATTATAGGAAAAATCGCATATGTAGCTTTCAACATCCACATTTTGAATACTGCAGTGTGCAAATACAACACATATCACTTTCATTTTCACACCTAAGTTTCAATCTACTCTAAAATTGCCTGTTTTGCTAGCCCAATTCAAGTGGCTCTTGTATTACTACTTCACTCCATTTACCTTCTAAATAACTGAGAACTTGTTTGGACCAACCTTGGCCTATCCCTTCTTTCTCTTTCAAAATGGCCCTCACTCCATGGAAAACATTGTGTATATCATTGGGAACATGTGGCAGTAAGTAGAGGCAACATAAAGATACAATGTCATTTAAGTGAACGGAAGCAGCACAATAGATGCGATATAGGAAGCACATTGCATTTTCCAACTTTCTAGCAATAAGTAACTGACTTCTGTATTTGTTCGTTTTTGAAAATGTTGTGGCTTTCTATGCTCTTAACTCTGATGTGAAAGATATGGTTTTCTCTTAGGTTTTTTTGCAGAACACTCCTGGATTTTCGCCTCTGAAATCAATTTTTTTTTGTTGGTTAAAAAAAATCTCACCAATGCATAATTAATTTAAAGTTGAAAATAAAAAGCAAGATATACTTGAAAGAAAATTTTAAATTAGTTCTACTTGTCAAAAACCATTTTGAAATCATTTAGTCAAGTATACCTTTTATTTCATATCTTTTGACTAGAAGTGACCTTTAAATTTTAAACTTCATTTAGCCAAATCATTAATTTCATCAACATAGGTTATTTTATAGAGTAGTTAGTTACAAATTGGAGATTTTGATTTATTGAGATTTGCAAAATTGCTTGTATTTCTTAATGCAGAGATTTATTGATTAAACAAATCTAGTGAGATATTTCATTAGTCTTAAACCTTGAAAGGCAAGCATGCTTTGTCGTAGTGTTGAGAACCATGATCTAGTTCATGTGTAGGCTCTTATGGTGAATTGCGATTGCGTAATAGCATACACCAAATGCTTATGTAATAGTTGTCCGAGTTTTGTTCTCTCTTCTTTTTAAATTTTTTTTTATCTGCTATTTTTTGTTTGAGTTGAATTATAAGAATGCACTTCTCGGAAACTTGTGGTTTTGTATGCAGCTCCGAGGGCTGTGGAGAAATGCCGGAACAGGAACTAGCTAGTGTTTGCGTATGATTGTTGCTATCCATCCAGCAGTATAGGAGGGAAGGGATTGGAGAAAGGGCCAAAAAGCACATGACCATGATTTCAGTTGGAGGTGAGTCATAATACGTTGGCAATGGACAGCAGATCATGAGTAGATGCTTTTTGTTCTTTCAGTGTCCGGTAATTCATGTTCTCTGAGCTTTGTTTCTTGTCTAATATAAAATCCTTAAGACCCTTTATCTGGGAGTACATCTGCAACTTAAGCAATCTGTGTGTGTCAAGTTCCTGTTCCCATGCAGGATCATTATCATGTAAAGTGTATTGTTTGTTGAACATGTCCGGAATTGTTTGATAAAGCCTGATTTACATATTTACTGCCTTCGAGTGTGTCCACTCACTAGTGTGCAAAGCGAGTAATACACTTTTTCAGTGAATATTTAATCAACATTGTTCTCCATGGAATAGTTTTGACCGTTCTCATTTCTTTCAGCCCTATTCTATTCATTCTCTACACAAAATCGAAGTTGCAGGCTTGTTAATTATACCATCTGTGTGCGTACATGATCAAATCAAGGTAACTTGTTCTGAGTCCTTGCTCTTTTCGTCTTACGTCCTATGAAAATGGAAAGAAGGAAGACTAAAACAGTTCAGAGTTCCTTGTGAATAATTTGGCATTGCTCTTAATTTCCAAATTTGATAGCCCATGTGGTTGTGGAGAAGTAAAGAAAAGTGGGAATATTAGAAAAAGGGAAAAGTTAAAGTGTTAATGAGCATTATTCAGTGGTCTAGTCGGTAGAGTGTCTAGCCGAGCGGGTGTACCTGTATTCGAGTCCCCCTCCCCTTAGTTTGCTTGTTGGATATGTTGGTTTTAAAAAAACTCTTGCGGCATGTGATGATTGTTTGATTGGGTGCATTATTGTTATGATTCAGAATCGGCTGCATTATTGGTGTGCCTCTTCTGAATCATTTATGTGGAAGTGGGAGCTGGTTCCGACCATTAAACCCTACCAACTTCATGGACAAAAATGGTAAAAAAAATCACTGACAGGGGAGGTAAGTAGGATTATGAAACGTAGAAGGCCTTATGTGAGATATTGACAAATCTCGGGAAGAAAATTGGAATTTACCATTTTATTTTTTTATGTTATAGATTATCTTGATGATGAATTTCAGAGTGTCAGGGAGAATCAGATTAGTTATTGTGATCAACTATCGTGAGAAAGAGAGAGAGAGGAGGCAGAGAGAAAATTAAATGAGAATTTGGTTTGGATCCAATTGGGTTTAACTCATGTCGCAAATCTTTTAGTATATATGTATATTTTGCATTGTATGTATATTTTTAAGTTTATTTTTTTCACCGGTGAATGGACAAGTATTATGCATAAAAATAAAAAGTTTGCTAGGATCCAACAACCCATAGGAATGAAGTGGTCTCTCCGAATTGGGTGAGATTCATGGTGTTTGATGGTTCCAATTGGCTTGTTGATTGTTGAGGGTGAAGAAGGATCAATTCTTCAAAGCTTGCTCGAACTACAATGGAGGAAGAGGAAGAGAGAATGTCACATGTAGGAAGAGAGTGAGAGAGAGAGAGAGTCTTGAACTGAATCAAATGGAATTGAAGATTACCGTTGTAGTCGACCTAGGGGTATCTTGAACTGAATCGAATGAAATTGAAAATTACTGTTGTAGTCGATCTAGTGGTATCTCTTTTTTCTGCCAAAAAAAAAAAAAAAACCAACAACAACACCGGTGTTTGATGGTTTATGCTGGGTAGTTGTTGATTGCCGAGGGCAAAGAAGGGTCATTCTCCAAGCTTACACCTACTGCAATCTAAGGGTCTATTTGGCAACCACAATTGTTTTGATCCGAAATAGAAGAATTGTTTCTATTTTAGAATGTGTTTAACATTATTTTGAAACTTATATAGTAACGTAAATTTGTTACAAGATCTTTAGAAATAAAAACATGAAAACATGTTTGGTAAAAAGTGTTGTAAGTTTGAAAATTTGAATTGCTAGCTAAAAATGTTAATTTTTTTTAAAATTTTTTTTTTTTTTTAACAGTGTTTTGTTATAGGTAAAAGCAAATAAAAATATCATTTTGATGTTTTCGATTTTAGTCTTAATTTTAAAAGTAATAACGACAAATATTATCTAACCAAAAAAAAAAAAAAAGCATTAGCGACTTTAGGAATCTAATTACGCCAAAAAAATTATGATGCAAATCTACAAAATGTTGTTTATTTTTTAATTTTCTGGGACAAGCCAATCAGATTGCAAACCTGGGAACCAATTAGTTTGGTACACATTATCGGATATGCTGTGGGTCCCATCTTCGGTCAATTCCTCACAAATTGACACTTTCAGTATTAGACAAAATCATGGATGTGTATAATATATATATATATATATAACGCAAACCTGTGAACCATTTTGTTTGATTCTGAGCAAGAAGATGCGTCCATCTAACCAAATCTTAAATGGGTCCCTCACCCTATTATTATTATTATTTATATTGTCAGATGATGAATTTATTTTTATTTAAATAAAAAAAAAATGGAAGATATTTTACATTTCTTTCTCTCAAATTAGTGCCAAGTTACAAACTTATTAAGCCCTACTAATAAAAATTAAAAAGCTATGGAAGTCTCACACTAGAAAATCGAATCAAACAAGTCCTTGAAAACTTGCAGCAAAACATGTTTGGTTCGTTTGGCAGCATGCATATACTATGTACAGATATGAAAGTTACTGATGTTTGGTATGGAATTAAGGTCATTCGTCTGAAAATGCCTCTCATTTTGTCCAAGATAAATAATAATAATAATAATAATAATAATAATAATGGCTTTGTGTCATGGTCGAATTGACATTTTCTCTGCATGCATTGTATCCAGAGGGATCAAACCCCATGACCTGCCACTAAATCTGCGCCCATTCTTTCAATTTCTAACTCGGAAACACAATTTCTCATGCTGACAGGTATTGATTTCGAGCAGAGTTTGGAATAACTACGTCTCACGTTTAATTATAATTTCTTCTTATCAAAGAGGAGGTTGAATATTCCAGGTCCGGGAAAGTGAAGTTGTGATTATGCGTGTTTGTTTGAATTTTTCTTTAAAAAAAAAAGAAAAAAACAAACAAAAAAAATATTTGTTGTGAGATTATTTGTCTATCTAACGGCTAATAGCTCAAGTTCGACTTCCCTTACCGTTGTGCTGGACATTGTTAATACAAAGAAAAAAAAAAAGAAACGAAAAGAAAAGAAAAAGAAATAGCCTTGATCTTTACTATTGTTAATCTTGATTTTTTGTATTGTATTAAAACAACAAAAATCTGTAAATTGTGATAGAGACCATATATATTTATATATATATATATATGCTTGGAAAGAATAATACTAGCAGTGTTGTGAATTATGCTCCATACCCCATAATACCTATATACACCTAAAATTGTTGAATTATGTATTGATATGACATGTCACGTATTTGTGACGACGACGTATTTGGCGTTTTTGGGTTTTTAATGCTAGGCACCACCAACCTACAACATCTCACAAAATCTGAGTGACCACATCCGTATCCAAATGATTGAATCTCAAGTCCTCAAAGATAAAAGATATATATATGCATGCATGCATGTGTCTGTCCATATTATATATATATATATATATATATAATAAAGGTAAGGGAAGTCGAACTTGAGCTCTTTGTTCCGATCCATCGAGTACTATGCATGCATACGTCTGTCTATATATTATTTATATATATATATATATAATAGACACGTTTTATGCATGTGAAGCTATTCCTAATTATAGAAAGAAAAAAAATGCCAAAATTTGACCCAGTCGTGTTTCGCAATGTTCACAAAAAATAAAATAATAAATAATAAATAAATAAAAATCAATCAAAGTTTTTATGAAAATGAAAATTGAAGTCCTGTTCAGGAAGAAGATGGATTTCATAGATGAGACATATATGTGTGTGTGGGCACGCGCGCGCGCCGACTTGGTCATGTGGACATCAAAGTTTATTTAAACATCTGATTAAATTACTGTTTCATTATTGGATGTTTTACCCCCTCCATGTGGTGCTTAGTAGGCTGTGTCTGTTTGCTATATATATTCCTTCTGATCTGGTAGTGGTTCTGCTTCACTTAACCAATTACCATGCGCATATATATATATATATATATATCCTATCTTATAATTGACAAAGATTCTTGATTAATAGTTACCAATTCTTACATGTGGCCCTTTAGAATCATTAATAACTTTAGCAACATCTCAACAACCAGAGAGAATGGATAGCTTTCATTTTTTGGTTCATTCGTTTAGAAGTCTTCTTCTCTCAGATTTTTTGAAAATAATCTCCCTTTTTTTTTATATATATTTAAATTCCTATCATTCATGAGAACAAAACCATCTCATTAGTGTCAATTTTAATTACAGTAACTTTTATTTTAGGAACAATAGCTGAACATAAAATTAGAAGTGGTTGGTCTAATTAAAAAAGACTTGAGTTTTGGTATATATGAAACATCAGATTTTATGGTTGATTCCTCTGAGGCACAAATAATTCTTTAATGCTATATTTGGTCAGTGGGAAGGATATGGGAGGGATATAGAAGAATGTTTTCATGTTTGGTTGGAGGAAAAGGAAGCAGGGAAGGATGAAGCATCCCTCCTTGCTATACGTTTTTTTTATCCGCCCAAATTTGGGGAAAAAGTGGAGGAAAAAAATGATAACTATAAAAATTTGTTATAATTTTTATTTTTATCCTTCCTCAAAATTTGCCAGTAAAACCCTATTGCGTTAAACAACAATACTGCATTCGTTGAAGATGGATTCTTGTTGAAGATCGATTCGTGAAAAGCAACTCAGTTACCTTCGCACAATTTTTCTTTATCATACATTCAATAATAATAATAATACTAATAAAGCAACTCAAACAACTTTGTGATGGTCTACACAACTTGTTGGAATGGAGCCTCAATCTTATTAAATAATTTAAAACTATTATCTAATTTAATAACTTTATATAGGGAGGATATATTAGTAAAAAGTATATAAAATTATCATTTCCTTCCTTCTTACCAAAATAAAAAAATAAAAAAACTGTCACTCCATCAATTCTTTATGTTATCCCTTCAATTCAACCAAACAAAAAGTGAATGAGACGCTTTCCCTTCCTTAGGGATGCCTCATCCATCCATCCCTTTCTCCCTTCCATCTATTTTTTCATCCCTCTAACCAAACGGGGCACAAGGGCTATATTCGCGGACATAGTCCGAACTTTACCCGATCCGTATGGAAGGGATGCGATGCACAGGTCCGGTGGACTAGTCGGGGCAAAATCCCGAACACCCAGGTTAGGATCTAGGACAAATTTTTGTATGTTAAAATATCTTTTCTTTGGTTTGAACCCGTGACTTTCATGTCACAATAGAACAATCACACCGAGGATTTAGAATAATTTTTCCCATGTGGAGATATTATTTCTATATTTCGAACTTGTGACTTTCATGTCATAATAGAACAACCTTATCGTTGCGTCAACTTTTCGATAATGACGACCGTGTTTAAATCTTAATTAATTACTTAAATCAAATCTAATTAAATAATCTTAATTAAATTTTTAATAACTTGAGTTACAATGATCTCATGATGGAGACTTGGATGTACGTTCATTAAGTCGCAAGTGCAATAATTGCTCTTTGATTATAAGCATTACAGTGTTTTGTTATATATTTAGTACTTCGGAAGTTTTTTATTTTTTATTTTCTCAATTGTGTAATATGATACTAGTAAGTAGTAACTTAACCCTAATTTTATAATATATAGGTCAAAATATTGAATCTTTCCTTTGTATGTAATATGTACTGTGTACTATGTTTTATGTATAATTTAAGACACCACCTTAATTCGCTTGCCTACACAGATAAGAAAAATTATGAAAAAATTACACTGATTTTTTTGAGATTTGGGTAAGTTTTTTGATATTTGGATAAATTACATGCAACTAAATTGCTCAAAGCTTATTACTTTGCCCTTTCCTAAATCTATTTCGCCCACAGTCCAAAAGTAACTTTGAATGTGAAAATCAGTAATGTACTTATATTTATATTATATTATATTTTATATGAGGGAAGGGCAAAATTGGTCATTTTCCTGGTCAACTGTCAAAAAGAAAAAATTAGGAGTGTCCTTGAATACACGCCCTAAATTTTAAAAGAGGTCAAAATAATAAATACTGAATGATCTACTCATGTATAAATTTTTTTTTTTTTTTTAATTAAATGAATAAGCTTTGTATAAATAAGGAAAATAGGAACGTACAAGAGGTCCTATAAGGACTAAACACATACAAATCATGTATAATTTGTTTAAATCTTAGAGACTATAAATAAAATTTACCATTAAAATTAGATTAATGTTCATGAGGCCTCTATCTTTGAAAGAATGAGGAGCTCTCATATTTTTTTTTACCTTAGATGCATTAAATAATGGATTTTATTTTTCACACATTTTAAAAAATTGTTTTATCTAATGATTAAATAGGGAGAACTCGTTCCCATGACAGAGACCTCTTAGGAGCATTACTCTTAAAATTATACATGTAATGTGTATATTTGCCCAATATGATATACATAGTATATAGCTGAAAAATTGTGAACCAATTGGAACTAGGGTATCCAAATAAACCATCAAGTGGTGTAGAATTAATGAGGATGAACACACGTGAAGAATGCTACTTCTAGCTAGGGGTGCATACGGTATAGTTCTTAGAAAATTGTAACCGAAACCGAAACTGGGATGTGAAACCGAACTGAACCAAACCGTGAAAGATCGGTTCAGTTCGGTTCAACTACGATTCTATTCTCATTTGATAATATTAAAGGTTAATTGAATATATGGTGGAAAAAATTTCACTGGCAATCACAGATACCAAACTAAATACATGTATTTCATTCAATATTAAATTTCAAAACAAATTGTCTTCGACGCTTTTCACAGTCAAGCAAAGCGATCTTTATATACTAGTTGAGAGAGATAGAGTAAAGATCCTCCATCATTAGATGGTTGAGAAAGAGAGATTGACTGGGTGATTAAGGGAGGGAGAAACCAACAGTGGCAAATGGCGATGGCTGGTTGACGGCAGTGAAGGGCATATCCAGAAATTGTTAATGGCTAGACTAATATTTCTTTGAGTGGGTTAATATAAGTAATATATATTTTTTTTTTTGCTGGGGTAAAATTATATTATTGATAGGAGTAATATAATATATAAATATAATTTGTTAATAAAATCGGTCCGATTTGGTTCAGTTATGAAGGATCTGGAACTGGAACTGGAACCGAACCGTAATGCAACGGTTCCACAATTTTGGAACCGAACCGAACCGTGAAGGAACCGGAACCACAGCACCTGTTCGGTTCAGTTCGGTTCGGTTCCAAATGGTTCTTTGGTTCCACCGGTTCTTTGTGTACCCTTACTTCTAGCTCAGTCAAGAACTTGGATGTACCAAGAGAATTTCTTGATAATTGATTGCATGTGTCTAGTGGTAAATTTTAGAATGTCTTAAGAGGTTCCATCCCTCATGTTGATCAAAAGCTAAGGAACCTGGATCAACCATTCTCTTTCTTTTGTTTATGTGTTTTATTTTTCATGCATTCTTCACCTGCAAAATCAAATGGTCTGATCTCGTGTTCGAATCTTGATAAGAGCAATATTGTGAGTTTGTGCTTGTTTATTTAAACTTTTGAGGAGAAAAAAATGTAATGGGAATTCCATATAGATAGATATATATATATATATATATATATATATATATATATAAAATCAAGATATCCTAGACAAAACGATGAGTGTTTTGATGATTGGAGAATGGGGTCCAATTTTCAGTCAGAAGAGGTATTCTTGATGAAGAGGGTTTTCACATATAAAAAAGTAGGGACCATAATCAGTCTAGTCCCTGTTGATTGTCATGCGTCCCAACGTCCCTCAGGTCTAGTATGGTGCCTCTCAAATTATTGCATATAAAAAGATTTGTATGAATAATAATATGAAGGATAGCCTTTCCAACCAACCAGCATATATACATGTATAGTCCACATACATACATTTACCATTTCTGCATATATTTAGGGACATATTAATTGAATGAAAACCCTTTACTTTAAAAATGATATATGAGCAATTAAAATTTTAGGAGGGCATGGCCTCTCTTGGACTATCTTTGGTTCTTGGAGAAGTGATGGAGGAGTTCGAATAGGGACTCTAAACTTTTTCCTTTCCTAAAAATAGCAATTTCCATTTGTTTTATTTCAAAAATTGCATATAAATTATTACTCTTTTCTTTTTGTATATTTTAAGATTGTTGTACTGTAAAAAAATAAAATAAATAAATTATAATAACTGTTACTTAAAACTACTCCGTATTAGATTTCAATTGGACAATGGGTGTGTGTATAATTTAAAAAGAATCCAAACTTGATATAAAAAGTATGTAAAATTTAAGATGCAAATAAAATTTAGTAATATTGTGTCAAGATTCACTCTCACATCCGATAATAAGTAATTAGAATTTACAAATCTTAATCAAAGAATTTCATCTCTTAGCATGACAGCTATTCAAAATGATGACCAATATATATATATATATATATATATATATATATATTATAAATATTTACTTAACAAGAAATTTATACACCCATTTGCCCCCAATGAGAACTTACAACTTCACCATTCAATTCCAGAAGTAGAGGAGATGCTATTAGATTACAACGCTTGTGGTGATGATCAATATATCTACGGATGCATATTTATACATTACGGAGTATAAATGGATTTTATTTCATGGCTGGATCTTCACCCAATTCAAATCTTAATCCATGCTCAAAACCCTAATGAGATTTGTATTAATTTGTGTGTGTGGAGAGAGAGAGAAAGAGTAAAATTGGGATCAAAATCCAAGATAAATGCCCATTGTGGCAATTATTTTTATGGGAAGTTAAGTAAGAGAGATTAACATTTTTATTCTCATGACACGTGACCAATTAAAAGAAGTGGTGAAAGATGAGTAAACCAAAACTTTAGTAGAGAAGTAACCAAATCATCCTTAAAATTCAACAATTAGTAATAAAATAAAAAGGTAAAATTGGCTTTATAATTGCCTAACTTTGATTAAAATAATGATTAGGTTGAGATTGGATCATGCTTTGTGGGATTTACGTGCCCCAAAGTCCTAAAGCCTACCTTCTAAACCATATAATTAAGCTTCCACCAAAGAAAGTGGTGTTCCAGAATTTGCGGTTTCAACCATGGACTATACATGGAAGAGAGAGAGAGAATTTGGCCCCAAGTTACTGTCGTAATTATTGACTCTCAATCCCAAGTAGATATTGAGTGAGGTGGACATAGATATTATTGGTATACTATTAGTTTAATTGAGTGAGAGCAGTTTCTTTAAATTATACAAGTAGAACTTAACTTACACAATCTTTCTTAATAGGTGTCGCTTTCACGTTCCGCGCACGCTCTCTCTCAAATTCTCACCACTTATGACTTAATTCTGCAGCTCTCACGCTCCCGCCCTTAAATTGGCTTTCGCTCCTACTCCCAGTCCCACTCCCGCTTATGTGACTTTAAGTCAAACCACTTCAATGAATAAAATTTATTGATTGAATGAGTATATTGATGATTTGGTATGTCCAACTCGCCTAATATATCTTCCTATTACATTAATCTACAAGGGGAACACTTCATGTGGTGGCCTCTTACCTTAAATAGCAATATATATTACATTTTCAAAAAATTCAATCAATAAAATTTGAACTTTCATAGAATATCCTAATAAATTTTCACTAATTAACAATGTAATGATTTTGTTGGTTCAGTTATGGTATTTTCAAGCAAGAGTCGGGACTACAGCTAGAAAATAAATGGGACTGATTAGGGGATTTATACATTTTAATGACATTGAAAAACTCTCATTGCAAAGGGAAAATTCTATAACACTTCATAATATCTTATTTTCGATCTCTCCAACGGTTGAATGTAATGGTGGAACTCACTTGATGGATGATCAAGCAACGGAGAAACCGTGGGGTATTTGTAGAACTTCTGTTCACATATCTTCAATTTTTTCACACAGATGTATGTGTGTGGCGACCGTGTATATGACGTTAAAAAAATGCCATACCAGTCTATTGCTAGATGAAAACTCTGAAATTATCTTTTTCCAGTACTATATATATACACACACAATTGTTCTTGCAGATTCTCCCACCTACTTACAATTACGTGTATATGAAGCAATCAAAATCTTGTGCAATCCCTACTGGTATGTCATATAATAATATATAAGTTTATTATTTAATTTATCCAAACATAAAACCTAATTAAGGCTCACTCACAGAAAAAGCAGCAAATCTCAAGCCCTTTCTTGCATACAAAATTTTTGAGCCAACTCTATCTTCCCCATTATAGACCATATACACATATATATATATATATACACACACGCACATATAGTGAGAGAGAGAATACTAGCTCTTTGGGTGTATTGAGAGATGGGCAGTGGTTGGAGAAGAGCTTTTTGCACGACGATCCCAAGAGATCGTAGACAACAAGTTCAACAACACAGCTGCCAAAACCAAACTAGTTTGGGCTATTCTCTCTCTGGTTCTGATACTAACCCATCCACGCCTCGCTTCCAATCTCAACCACTGACTAGTACTCCAATCTTCCGTCGCCCAAACACCCTCCTTCATACACCTTCCCCTAATGATACCCACAATATTATTCATCCTCCGAAGCTCCAATGCAAAACCACCACCACCACTCCAAAGTCCACCATGAAAAGCCCGTCATCGTCTCCTAGATCTCCATTTTCGATCTTCAAGAACACTTTGCGTCTCTCCAGATCAGTAAGTTTTATCACTCTGTGTGTGTTTGTGTTTATATACGTAGAATATGTTTGTATGTATATTTATACCTTTGAGTTTGTGTTAATTTAATTTTCAGAATGTGTGTGGAATATGCTTGAGGAGTGTGAAGAGAGGTCAAGGAATGGCCATTTACACAGCAGAGTGCTCTCACGCTTTTCACTTCCCCTGCATAGCAGAGCACGTGACCAAGCAGGGGAATCTCACGTGCCCTGTCTGCAACTCCACATGGACAGACGTCCCTCTACTCCCTGTCCACGTGAACAACATTCAAAAACAATCTCAACTCAAAGAAGATGAATCTCATAGCCATGTCAAAACGAAGCCGTTTCAAGTAAGGACTTACGACGACGATGAGCCGTTGCTGTCGCCGGCCGCCGGCGGTCGATTATTTCCGGTACCGGAGGAAGACGAGAATGAAGAACACGAAAACGAAGAGTTTCGAGGTTTCTTAGTCAATCCAATCTCTTCGTCCAGTACTGATGAATCTGTGATCAACGGTGGCGGAGATTCGATGAATGTGGAGGTGAAGCTCGTGCCGGAGGTTGCGGTTGTTTCCGTCGGACGGAGTCACCAGACCTACGCGGTGGTTCTGAAGGTAAAAGCCCCTCCACCACCGCCGGTGGCGCACAATAGCAACGCGGCGCATTCTCTGGAGCCGTCGCGCCGTGCGCCAGTGGATTTAGTCGCCGTGCTTGATGTCGGTTTGAGCATGAAGGGCGAGAAAATGCAGATGCTAAAACAAGCCATGCGGCTGGTGATTTCTTCTCTCGGCTCGGCCGATCGGCTCTCCATTGTTGCCTTCTCGGCTAACCCCAAGAGGTTGTCGCCTCTTCAAAGAATGACGGCTAAGGGACAGTGCACAGCTCGGCGCATAATCGATCGGCTCAGTTGCAGCCAAGGGTGTAGCGTTGGTGGTGCTCTGAGAAAAGCCACCAAAGTACTCGAGGATAGACGTCAGAAAAACCCAGTTGCCACCATCATGCTCTTGTCAGCCGATCAGGATGGAAGAGTCTCACCCAATAAAATGGTCAAGCCTCGTGTCATTGTAAAGTCGGAAGAGAATAAAATGTATACAAAATTATCTCAGACTGTTTTCGATTTAGATCCCGTAATCTCACCAAAGCCCAGATTATCCACACGATTTGCTCATATGGAGATTCCCGTACAGGCGTTTGCCTGTGGAGGAAAAAGCAGCCATGAGCCAACTGAAAATGCATTTGCCAACTGTGTTGGTGGCTTACTAAGCGTGGTGGTTCAAGGTCTAAGTATTCAGCTCGGTTTGGCATTCGGCTCAAACTCAGCTGAAATATCAGCCGTCTATTCTTGCAATGGACGGCCCACAGTGCTCTGCGCAGATTCAATTCGGCTTGGGAATCTATACGCCGAGGAGGAAAGGGAATTACTCGTGGAGTTGAAAGTCCCTACTTCTACAATTTGGGGCCATGTGCTGTCGGTTCGATGTTGTTATAGGGACCCAGCGAGTCGAGAGATAAACGGTAGAGAAAAGACCTTGCTCGTTCCTCAACCGCAGGCCGTACGATCAAAAATGCCGGAGATCGAACGGTTGAGAAATCTATTCGTTACGACACGAGCGATAGCAGAGTCTCGGCGATTAATGGAGCATAATGAGCTGTCCAGCGCTTATCAGTTGCTATCATCGGCTCGAGCTTTGTTGTTGCAGTCAAGCTTGATATCTTCTGATGACGAGTACATTGGCGGCCTGGAAGCCGAGTTGAAGGAGCTACACCGCCGGCGACAGTATCAACGGCAGATTGAACACCGGCAAGTGATCAGACGGTGTGGAGGTGGTAAGAAGGAGACGTGTTTTGTCAATGAGAATGGTGAGCCGCTCACGCCGGTGTCGGCTTGGAGAGCGACTGAGAGGCTTGCTAAGGTGGCAAAAATGAGAGAAGACTTGCACGGCTTTGAAAACGCCAGATTTTAAAATGAATTGTTCCTAGAACTAGTGAAATTGTTCCTGGGTTGTCCCGGTAAAATATTTATGTAATAACTTTACATTCCTTATGTAACAATTATATTAAATTACGATACAAAGCATAAGACCACCGCATCAGGGGATCCGAATTCCTTCCTTGTGATGAGACTTCCACCCTCATTCAACAGTTCAGTGCACCGGAGAGGATTCGAATTCTCTGGAGATGGTGGATAATAGAAAACAAGTGGTACTGCATGCTACATTTTGTTCATGGGTTATATAACATCCATGTTCCTTCTGCCCATTGCACAAGTGATGCAATTTTCCATTAATGCAGTGAGAGCAAGTCGAATGTAAATTCAATCCTATGTAACTGAAACACATTCACTCTAAATGCACAAAATATTTCTCACTGAATTTGGTCAAAGCTACAAACAATATATATTTTATTTATCTATTTTAACCAGTAACACCAGCATAAACAACTATACCTAAACAACCAAGTCGAGTAGTTAATTCATGTTCATCCATCTATGTCATTAGAGGATTGATTACTCCAGCATACCAAAAAGGTTATTACTGCATAATTGTCCTCAAGAGTTGGGTTCTAAAGCTCTGCAACCATATTCACAATGAGTAATAATATATAGTTTAGTATTACCAGCTTACTACACACCACACAGAGGAGAAAGCTTTGATCCATTCCAGCCTAGCTATATTGAGCTTGGAAGATGTCAATATTTGATTAATCCGTAAATTAATTACAAATTCAATAATGTTTCAGGAACAGACTACATAATAGGGAGAAATCATCCGATACACTAATCGAGCTCACCGCATATTACCTCAATTGTATGCTACAAAGCTGAATGGCCACTTACAATCACACTGTAGGCAAATGAAATGCCTACAAAAGAACCCCAACCAGAGTTACGCAGAAGTTTCTGACAAGAAGGGATGAATACGAAAAATCCCACAAAGGAACCAAATCCCGTTTACTATTCTATTGAAGATACCAACAGTGCCAATCCTAATCACACGGTGAGTAACTTTTACTCTTTATTCAGATTTTGACGCAGTAAGAAGTGCTGTTAAAGAAATTTTGGCATGGGAGCTTACTTCTGGTTTTGCTCTATCTTGGCTCGAATCTTCTCTTCCAACACAGATATCTCAGTCTCGAGACTAAACATTCTATTAAGAGCATGCATATTCTCAAGGGTCTCATTCAAAGTTCTGTTGTCACTCCCATCACATCTCAGGTGTTGCATTGGACCGTGAAGGAGCTTGTTTACTATACCCCGGCTAAGATCATCCACAGCCTTCCTCGTTTTCTTTGAGATACCATCACCCATTTTTGACAAGCATTTCTCTAGCTCTGCAACTCTAATTCTTTCCGCATAGGCCCTCAACTTTTTGATTGTGGGAACAGTCTCTAAAGAATCCCTCCAAGCTTCAAATTGTTTTAATTCCTCAGTAATTATTGCCTGAGCTTCCATTGCTTTACGAAGTCGGTCCTCTTTATTAGCTGCAACAACCTCCTTAAGATCATCCACATTAAAAACTCGTACAGTCTCCAGATCCTTGACACAAGAACCCACGTTCCTCGGAACAGAGATATCAATGAAAAGCCTTAAGCCTCCAACATCTGGACCAACAGGAGGAAGATCCATTACGTGCTCTTTCAAAAATAATGGGGCTTCTGATGCTGTGCTGGTGAAAATTACATCTGCCTCGGCAGCACAGTTTAGCATTTCCGAAAGTGGTTTGTATATTATCTCGACACCCTCCAACTCCTCACGGAGGGCTGCAACTCTCTCTTCACTTCTGTTTACGACCACCATTTTTGTGCATCTTTTTGCTGCCAAGTGTTTGATCACAAGTTTCCCCATCTTGCCAGCTCCAATCACCAACATCCTAGCAGTGGAATGCGAGGACTCAGGAATCTTCATTAAAGCTAATTCAACAGCAGCTGAGCTAACAGAAACAGCCCCTGCTGCAATGTTTGTCTCGGTTCTAATCCGCTTTCCAACTGTGATTGCATGCTTGAAAAGCCCGCTAATGATCCTCCCAAAGCCCAAGACTCCTTGGCCTAATTTCACAACTTGTTTGACCTGAGCAAGGATTTGGCCTTCTCCTAAAACCAATGAGTCTAGTCCTGCTGAGACTTCAAAGAGATGTTGTGTAGCATCTTTGTTATACAGCAAGAACTGGTGCTGGCAAAACTCAGAAACAGGGATGCCACTTGTCTGCCAAGAGAAAATAAAAAAGTTTTAACAATGATAACCAGTCACTTTTAAAAATTAAAAATATAGTCATTTTTGGACAGCTGGAAAAAATTGACATCTTAAATAGAACAAAAAACTACAAATATGAATGCTGAGGAGATCAGGTAGAACCCAGGCAAGAATGTGAGGAAACACTATTCTTTCCCAAAGTCAAACCATGCAAAAATGGGGAAAAGGGAAGGTGAGGAGTTAATTGAAAGATAAGAGGAAAAAAAAGAGAAAGAAGGAAAAAGAAAAGAAAAAAGTTTGATAACAATAACCATCAAGGATTAGTTCGGATGATGTAATACATTCACAAGGCACCACCAAAGCCTATGGCCTAGTGATATCTCCTCGCCTTTCAAAGTGAAAGGTATAATGTTTGAGTCTCCCCAAGAGCATTGTGGAAGTTCTTTGGCAGGACAAAAGATATATATATATATATATATATATATATATATATATATTCACAAGGTAAATTTATGTGGCAAGTAAACTCCTGGAGTCCTGGTTGCACCATAGCATGGTATATCGCACTCAAAATGCATATACATTGAACGTCTTCCAGAACAGCTAAAGCTATCTCATGAAAGACCAAACACCAAATCTCACAAAAGGGTCTTTCAGTATGGTAAGAAAATGTACCAAATAAAGGATCTCAATGGCAGCAAAGAAGAACATGGTACAAAAGGAGAAACCGAATATATATAAATATATATAGTACAAAAGAAAAAATGTAAAGCACCTTTGACATCCATTCAGTAACTTCTTTGACTCCACGATGCTGAGAAAGAGCTACAACATATATCTCCATCCTGTTGCATGTACTAAGAACAGCAGCTTCTTCTATGTGATTCAAACTACAAAGCTCTTGAATGGCTCGTGGCCATTCTGCTTCTGGAATTGCTAATTTTTCACGCATTTCAACAGGAGCAGTGTGAACACTGAGCCCGATGGCCACAATGCTGCTCCTTTCCTTTGTATATCCTGACAGAGACAACGATGACAGAAAAAATTTCAGAAAAATAGTACTCCGGAAAACATTTCATGTTTAGCAAGAGACAAAAAATTCTCATTGAAGGAAACACTAACCAGATTATCTTATGAGATTTCAAAAATGAAACACATGATTAATTTGATAAAAAAAAAAATGGAAAGATCTATTTGTGCTTTACTAATAAACTTAAAATAATGTATTCTCATCTCCATTAGCATGAATAATAAGCTCTCTCTCTAGGAGTTTATATTGCAAAGAATTTAAAAAGAAAAATCAACAAGTCAGGCATTTTACTATGTACAATTTAATCCTTCACTAACTGCAGGTATGAAAAATAGAAAGACCATAACCAGTGACTTTTGTCCATTTGTAGTGTCAGGAGGGTCGGACTAGATATAAACAAGAAATTGTAAAAATAAACATCAAATTAAAATGTCCATAGGTACACATTAATTATCTTAGAAGGAAATAATCTAGGTGAGATGCTTTTTCAGAGCCAATCCACAACGAAGTATCAAAAGAAAGTTTCGTACTCAAAAGTTCACATAGGTGTAACATGAACTGTGGTTGTACAATCAGGATATTGCCCTCACACAACCTTAATTACATGATCAAATATTATATATTCTAAAAGCATAATTCATCTTGCAACAATTGGGATCTGAAATTCTAGTGTCCAATTGCAGTAAGAGAAAGTTCCCACGAACAAATTGAGAACACCATAAAATCTCTCCTAAATTACTAATTTCGACGCATCTCTTTTCAAGCAATAGTCCTTTTCACTAGGTGATTTCAAATTCTCCAATGCATTGATTTCAATTATGAAAACTCACAATATGAACTAAATTACTCAACTCTCAGAAACGAAACGATCAAAGTGGAATTGAATCAAAAAGCAAAAACTAGATTGGAAATGCATTACACTATCCCAATTTAAAAATCAAACAGAACCCAGTACCACAATCAAGTTGAATTATTACAGACACAAAATATATATTAAGAGAGAGAAATTTGAACATACTGTCAGCTGCGGATGTTTTGAGCAACTCGAGAGCAGAGAGGCTTGAAGAAGAAGCGGTCTGGACCATAAGATCGGACACAGCCTCACATCTGATGGTCGGATTGAAAGAGGCTCGACCTCGCTCAACAATTAGGGTTCGTCTGGTTCGAGTTGGTTTGCAGGATATCCCAATTTGAGACGGAGACGACGACCTCGGAGCCGAAGAATTGGTCGAATTGTTGGTGAGGAGGAAAGTCTCTAGCTTGACCCCTGCAAATGTACTCGAAACGGCCATTACTGGCAAAATTCACCTGGACTGTGCCCAGACCCTAACCCTAAATTTGAGACAGAGAGGGAGGTGAGAGAGGAGAGGTTTATGGGGATTGTGTTGTCCGTCCCCGTTTAATTGGTTCGTTTTTTAGTTATTTTTAGAGAGAGTCAGAGTCAGACAAAGGAAAATAGAGGAGTAGGTGGGCAGGAAAGTGGAGACCGTGTTGGCTTGGGCCAAAAGAATTGAAGAGGTCAAGGGGCAGAGTCAGCCAGTGGGGTTGGCTATTGGAATAACACGTTTTATCCACACTCTCCTACCCCAACTAACTTGGTCAATAGAGCTGAAAATTATACATTACTTTTTTGTTTTTTTATTTTTTCGGTAAGGTTATTTATTTAACTGTAGCTCACATAATTTGGACATATAATATATTACTGACTAAATAAATAGATATTAATTAATATTATTTATTTTTGGTCAACTTATCATTACCTTTTTGGTAATTACTTATTGGAGAATTGTTTTCCTTTCTTATTCCTTATTTTGATGGAAAGTAAAATTATGTTACTAAAAGGAAAACTGGTCATCTCTCTTCCTTTATAAAAATACATATACTCTATCAATTATGTACGATTAATGATATAATACGTAAAAGTTTTATGTGTGCAAAAGACCAAGAGAGAGAAACCAGTTTCCACCTTTGTCTGTTGATCAGAGTTGCAGATTAGTTCGTGGTTAAAGGATCTAGACGTTGGATTTAATCTAAACAAGATTTGATATCATGAATCGATGTATTTATATCTAACCATTTATTTATGCATTATAGATATGTAAAAATCATGAAATTCTAAGATATGGGATTCATGTAAATTTGTGATTAATGACTTAACACAAATTAATTATAGTTTACATGTGGTATCAGAGCTTATGGTTTAGGAATTCAGTTATTTTTCACTAAAGTTTGCATAAATAATATATATATAAATTAAAGCATGTAAACTATAATTAATTCGTGTTAAGCCATTAATCACAAATTTACATGAATCCCATATCGTTGAACTTCATGATTTTTACATATCTACAATGCATAAATAAATGGTTAGATATAAATACCTCGATTCATGATATCAAATCTTGTTGAGATTAAATCTAACGTCTAGATCATTTAATCACGAACTAATCTGCAACTCTAATCAATAGGCAAAGGTGGAAACTGGTTTCTCTCTCTTGACCTTTTGCACACATAAAACTTTTACGTGTTGTATCATTAATCGTACATAATTGATGGAGTATATGCACTTTTATAAAGGCAGAAAGAGGACCAGTTTTCCTTTTACTAACATAATTCTACTTTCCATCAAAGTAAGGAATAAGAAAGGAAAACACTTCTCCAATAAGTAATTACTAAAAAGGTAATTATAAGTTGACCAAAAATAAATAATATTAATTGATATCTATTTACTTAGTCACCAAGTAATATGTCACATGTCCAAATTATGTGGGCCACAATTAAATAAATAATATTACATTCTTCCACTTGGTACATATGATAATTTCTGTAGAAATTTAGTAAAAAAGTCATTAGTGTGCACCATAAATCAGATTAAGGTATTAAGTTGGTCATCATAAATACCATGGTAAACAAACTACCAATGTGAGTCATGGCGGTTGTATGTCCCTAAATGACACAGTCACTTCCATGTACCACAACACTAGTAACCTATTCAATATAGTCTATAAATGAGAAGTATCAATAATGATTTAATAATAATGTCTTTTCCAAAACTATTCCTATTACCACTTATTAAAGTAATACGTATATATACCTTAATTAATAGGAAATATCATAAACACATTTAATGAGCGCAAAATGTCAAATATATATAAGCACTATTAAGTAATTTACAATTAAAAAATAATCAACATTGACTACATTCAAGAACTATTTTTTCAACATGTTCCATAAATGTCTTGGGTGGTAGTCCATTCGTTAATGGGTTGTAATCATAAGTTGTGTGCTTATAATTTCGATAGACATTCGTTGTTTCTAAACATCTTCTTTAATGATAAAGTATTTCAACTTTGTAATACCTATCATTTTAATACAAGAAGATCAACAATTGCAGCATAAATTTTCAGCAATCTGAAAATGGTACCCATAACTCCAAGTCCTGAAATAAATTCTGCAACCATAAATTGTAACATCAAAGCATGTTACAAATTAAAAATTCGTAATAGACAAAGTAATAATAAATTACTTTACATTTTTTTTCATAATATTGTTCCTCCAGCCAAAAGAAATAAATAACCAATTAAAAAATATCTTCCTAATTATGAGCATATAATCTTTTATCACATACCAACTTGTATATAAATCAAACTCCACAATATATGCATAAGGAATATTTTTCGTTTCTTTACCTTCTAGCTAACTTATTATTTGGGATTGCATTAGGCTGAATTTATCCCCTTTTATGTATGAAACAATACTGGTTGAATAATGTTACACACCGAATCTTTCTAAAACTCTTTCAATATATGCTTTCTGAGACAATCCTAAAAAATCCACGTGATCTATCATAAAATATTTCTATTCCTATCACATGGGATGCCTCATCCATATCTTTCATTTCAAAGTTCTTAGAGATAATTTTTAATTTCATATAATAAACTAAGATCACTACTAACAAATAAAATATCATCAATATATAGAATCAGAAATATAAACTTACTCCCACTAACTTTCTAATATATACATTGATCAATAGTGTTTTTCTTAAAACCAAAAGAAATAATGGTAACCAAAGGGCCTTTGGCCTAATGGTATAACCTCCTCATCTTCAAAGAAGAGGGGAGGGGTTCGAACCCGGGCGTGAGCAAAAAAGTGTGTGTGTGTTTGCTTTACCATAAAAAAAAAGAAATAATGGTATCTTCAGGAAGCTTGTTTAAGTTCATATATTGACATCTTAAGTTTATAGACCATATATTCTTTACCCTCTAATGTGAAGCCTTCAGGTTATTCCATATTGACTTCCTCTTCTAAACTCCCATATATTCAAGTCATTACTGTTAATAGCTTGTGCGTATGTAACTGGATTCGTATATATTTCACTATATATTAAAATCAGATTCTTACAGATATATCACATAGTCATCCGGAATAGCAGACCTCATTTCTATTTGAGATCGTCTTAATGTTATTCCTTATGATTCTTTTATAATCTATTTATTGGTGACAATCTCATTATAGAGTTGTTGATCATTCAATTATTCTTCGTTATTATACAATTCAACAACTGAAGGAACAATTATTTCTTTAGAAGTTATGGGTAAAGAAATTTGTACCATAACTTCTTAAATGATCACATTTTTTTTTCTTTTTTTTATCACTCCCACCGACTTCACCATTCTCAATGAATCTGACATTACCAATTTCAATAATTATCGTACCATGTTTAGGATAGTAAAACTTGTATCATTTAGATTACTTAACATCCACAACATTATGGACAACGAGGAATTACTTAACATACTCCTAACCAATTTCATAAGAGTACAGTTACGCCTTACAGCTACACGCTTCTACTGTGGCATGTATAGCAAAGTGTATTGAGGACAAATGCCATATATTTCAAAGAGTTTAACAAACGGCTAGAGTATTAACCCGTTTTATCATACTTTCCATAATATTCACCACCTCTATATGACTTTATGATTTTCACTTTTCTATCTAGTTGTTTTTCAATCTCATTTATGTATACTTCAAGAGTACCCACTGCTTGAGATTTTTCATGCAACAAATAGATATATCCATAGCGTGAAAAATTAACTATAAAGGCAATAAAATATTTTTCTCCACCTAAAGATGGAACATCATTAGATCTACAAATGTCTGTATGAATAATTTCAAGAAACCTTATACTTATTGTGGCTCATTTCTTTGTGTGTTTGGTTTGTTTACCCTTAATACAATTTATACACGCACACCAAAATCAGTAAAGTTTAGATTCAGAAGAATCACATCCTTTACTAATTTTCCTAACCTTTCACTATATATTGACCTAATCTTTTATGCCACAAGAAAGATAAATTTTCTATTAAATAAATTTTCTATTAATTGAGTTACGCTTAATTCTAACATTATGATGCAAGATCAAAAGGTTTTTAATAAATAAATTATCAAGTTTGAATTTACAGAAATCATCAACAATAATACCATAACTCACAAATTAGAATTTCTTGAATAAACATTATTATCAAATTTAAATGAAAAATCATTAACATAAAGTTTTGAAATAAAATCAAATTATAGAAAATTAAATAAATATAAAAAGTTTAAAATAATTTAAATAAAATCTACTGTCTGACATTAAACATAATGTCACAATGGTTTCAACAAAACTTTTTCCCAATTATCATAAATAAGAAATTCTTATTTGAATTTGTGATTTAGGCCATAAGAAATTCTTGCATCTATTAGAAACATAAACATTAGTACTTAAATCAACCTATCATGTATTAGAAAGAATTTCAATAAGTAATTCGAACTATACAAAAGGCAAAAGCTTACCATTCTTTTTCAAATCATTTTTTATATTTCATGTAATCTTTCTAAAAGTGTTCAATACATTAATGACACTTTTTCATTATTACATTAATTTCTTTTAGTAGATTGACCTAAATCTTTTAATTTTGGGTGTTGCTCACTTAATGCCTTTTTAGGCTTATTCCCAAAATTTATTTATAACTTCTTGAGTCATCAGATGAGCATAATGATTACTTTGCTACTTAAGTCTTGTCTCTTCCTAAATTAACATAATGGTCAATTAAATCACTTTCCACTTGTTTTAATAGTGTTAATTCGAAATAACCCATACTGAATAGATAAGAAATTGAGAATAAATTGAATAAGAAAATTCTCATTCATAATCATCTATAAGGTTCTCAATTTTGCAGCAACATTAGTCATCTAAAAATACGTTCATACATGGTACGAGTACCAACAAAAAATGCATAGTAGTTATATCAATTAATAATTTTCACTTTAAATATTTATCTACAATACGAAAACATTCTTATAATCAAATATTCCTTAGCACTATCACTATGGGGAACAATTATTCGCATAACCATAATGCTTAATCTGTTCAATCTCTCCCAAGCTTTATGGAGAATCTTTTCTTCCTCACTATTTTTATCAGTAATA